TATTTTGATGACCTAATTCATGCCCGATTTAATCTTGTTGGAGGTAATTCTACAATTAAAATACTAGCTTAGTTCAAGAAAACCTTTAAGAACATTGAGAGGTATTGCTGTCTTGAGAACAGTCACAGGGGCCTGTTCATAGACACTGCTACCGCATCCCAGAAACGGAGTAATTGTCTTTTTTCCATTAAACATTTTCAAGGTAAACAGAAGAAATTGGGTAGAAAGAGGCTGACTTAAAATGGCAGTGTGAAATTTGCAGATGTACTTGATGCTGTAATTCAATACACTGGATCTTGAAGCCAAGACTAATTTTAAACAAGGGGTTGGTTTTACATATGGCTGATGCTTAATGGCTTTTTAGGTGTAAGATCCTTGTAGATCTTAATGTAGCTGATCAGCAGAGAGTCTGAAGTAATGAAAGCCCTTCACATTCTTATTTACACCTAAGCTATGCAACAATACATAATGTATAATTGATCAAAAAAGTATTGTTGGATTTATTCTAGCTACATGTTAAATATCTGTACAAGTCTCAAACCAAGTCTTCAAACTGATGTACTCTTAGTCAGAATTTCTTTCATCGAGATCTTGGTACAGCATCAACATTTATTTTTTGCTAAGGTTATTTTCAGCAACCATTTATGGACCTTCCTAAATTGCTCACTTAAGGCAAAGGTGACATGGCCATCCTTCAGGGTATGTTCAGTATCAGATGGGACAGACAACGGATGTTTTTTTCCTTTGTCCCTTCATGCATGATGTCTGGGCAGACAAATTCCCTCCTTTCCCTTTGGAGACACTGGATATGGGTAGTACTTTTCAGCCTTCCATTCTCAAACTTCTTCCCTGCATTAAACATTTGAATAGCTACAACATGATAGACCAGGCAAATTTTTGTGAAGTGGAAGGTGTCAGCTTCAATCAACTCACAAGAGTGCTGAAGGCATTTCTCACACATCCTAGATGAATGTTTTGATCATATGGTCCTCATGTAAGAAACAGATGCCACCTTTTCAGAGCAAATGCCCTGCTCTGTTCTTTGCTTCAGGTAGTACATGCCAAAGGGATGGGAGATGCTTCCTTGCAGCCCCAAAGGAGGTAGCTGAGGATGGGACTCAATGCTGCTGTCCTTAGGATCATCCTTATGGGTTAGCTTACAGGCCAAACTCCCTCCAGGCAGCTGGAAGCCTTACAGAAGCTGACTTTTGGGCATCTTAACTCTTCTGGTGGAACTGACCACCTGATACTAAGAGTGTGTGTGTGTGTATATATAAAAATACAATGTATTCTGGGCAGGGCACACACAAATGTTCTGCATTTAACTACTGGTGAGGCAGCTCCAGAATATGGGGGAGAGATGAGGAAAGAGTTGTTCTAATTCTTGCACTTCACTGCTGCCCAGCACTGCAGCATTGCAGTGCCAGCCAGTGGGTTCCTGCTCATGTCAGCTTCAGCATGTTTTCAGTATGCCTTTTAGAGATATCTATCTATCTATCTATCTATCTAGGAAGAGAGTCAACATTTCTAATGTTTCAGGACTGTGTACGCTAAGATTAGATTGATTTTATACTAAAAAGTATGCTAATATTGATAACATTGTTTAAGTAGCTTTACAGACATCATATTTTGTATGTTGTTTTTGATACAAAAAAAAAAGTTTTGATAGCCTTAACTCCATTCTTTAAAGTTCTGCTTTGTAGAAATGAATGTCTAATGTTTTCGTGGTGCTAAAGTAACTGTGATCAGTCTCAAATTATTCAGAATAAAGTTGCTACTGATTTAAGTGCCCTGTTTGTTACTGCATGGATCATTTTTAGTCTTGTCCTCATGTAAAACTTACCATTTTTTAAAAGTAATTTTGTGTTATTTCGATGATTATTGAGTCTTATGTGTAGACATCTGTATAAAAGTCTTTACAGCCACTTCTGTTACCACTGTGGTCTGACAGGAATGTTCCCATTATTATATTTGCTCCAAAATTAATATAAGGTACAAACGCACTTCATTCTGATTGCACTGATGATCTGTTTTATGGCAAATGGTTTATAAGCCTAAACTATTGACTTCCAGAGTTAGATGTCTCTGAAAACTTTATTTTCCATCCTGGGGTCTCATATCTAACTTACAGAAGAGTTGAATTCACAAAAGGCAGAAGTAAAACGGAGGGAGGGAAAATGGTAGAATAAATTTGAGCAGTGTTTTAGAAGAATTCTGTTTTTTTTTTTTTTTTTTTTGCTTCATCAACTGCCAGTGTAGTTG